GCAATAAACATGTTATTTCCAAAGCAAATTCATCTGTAACAATGTATTTTTTATGCTCTATTTCTGCAATCATTTCCAATTGCCTTATCCTTTTACATCACTTGATGATACTTATTTGTATTTGGCAAAGGTACAAACTTCAGATAAAATCACTTTTAATGCACTGATGTTATTTTAAAAGTTATTTACAGAGATGATTTGTGCAACTTAAATATACTTGTCAAAAGAAAAACACATTATGTTGTTCTTCAAAATAATGACGAACATTAAAAGGTTTTAAGCTTTGAATAAAATATAATTGTACTGTCAAAATAGATATCTGGGGGTTAAACTAGAAGTGATTTAAGAGACAATTTCATACAGAAAGCACAGAAAAATTGAGGATAAACAGCAAAGAGCCGATGGTGTTTAAGATATTGGAAAGAGGGGCTGGAAGGAAGACTTATTGGCTGAGCACACTGACTGCTCTTTCAGAGGGCCCAATTTCTCTTCCCAGCACCCACAGGGGGCGTATCAACAACTCCAGTGCCAGGAGTCTGATGCTGGATTCTGATCTAATATCAACAAACAAAAACAAACTGCGCTCCCATCTTTACAGGCACCCTTCACAAGAGCCTGACTATGGAGCAAAATGAAACATCTATCAGCTAATGAATGGATCAATTAAATGTGCATATATGCACACAGTAAGTTAGTTTCAACAAAGTTCTTAATATTTGTGACAGCATTCCTGGATCTGAAAGTGAAGGGTGTTCAGAAAGGCAAGGCTGGGTTATCTCATTTGCATGTGAATTCAAACAACAAAAGAAACTGAAATAAAACTGTATGAAAGTATATGACTTGGGAAACTTAAGAAGAAGTAAGTGAAGAAAGTATCATTAAAAAAAACACAAAGCTAGATTAAATCCTTGGTCAACAGTTTTGGTGTTTCATCATTTTGTGGTGAAAATGGTTGAAATAATACATAGTGCTTCTAATAAAAGTCAGAAAAGAAATTTTGAAAATTCTTACCTTAAGAAATGATGGCACTTAAATGGATATGCTCATTTGTTTGAAAATAATATCAGTCAACACACACACACACACACACACACACACACACACACACACACCACAGAAACTACCAAGGCATATGTATATTTTGCAGAAATCATGAGTCAGATAAGTTTATGCTCATACCATGTTTTTATTTATTTTATAATTAATATGTTGTCCTACAAAATACACTTCAGGAATATATGTTGATCACATCCATTCACCACCACCTAATGCCAAATCACAAGTGTCCTCCATATATTTTATCTCCTCTTTCCCTGGTGTTACAATTAGTACTACCTGCACATATATAGATCTGTGAACATTTGCTAAGGTTCTGTCAACATCTTCTTCTGTATTCATTATGAAATTTTGATTGGCTTAAAATGCCCAGGTCCTATTGATTTTAACCCCAGTAGTTATGAGTATGTAAACCCACGATTTTGTCAATATATATGTATACATATGTGCTTGTGTGTATACATATATATGTATATATATATATGTGTATATATATATATAGAAAGAGCGAGAGAGAGAGAGAGAGAGAGAGAGAGAGAGAGAGAGGAAAGAGGGAGGTAAAGGGGTGGAAAGAGAGACATTGAACAGAAATACCATGAATAGGTGAGCCATGCTGTTATAAGACATGAATCATTTAATGAACATCTCAGGGCTAGAAATTGAATTTCTCTCTTCAAGAAATTCAAGCTTTTAATCAGGGATTCTCTTCGAATTTACCATGAAACCCTTTCCCAGATGGCAAGGTTATGCCTTGTCAGAAGTCCATATAAAGGATGATGGTAGCAGAGAGACATTATTAATGTGGCTACTCAGTTCTGGACTGTATATGCTGCAGTACACACAGGTCATGAAATATATTCCACTGGTACTAGACAGACACGGGGCTTACAGAGGTAATAAATGCTTTCTTATTGGATGTGGTGCCTGGTCTCTGGAGGGATTCTGTTCCTGGAACTACAATCTGGCTCAAACTCCCTGAGGGACCATGGAGTTCATAGGTTTTGGATGGGAATTTCCTGTTGATGTTCTGTTAAATGGCCATTCTTTCAAACCGGGCTCTGAATATTTAGGTTTATACTCATAGTTGTACTGGTCTTAATTTCTTTCAGAGAAACTTCTTTAAAGAGATGAAGGCAGAGACTCCAAACTGGTCAAATTGCTCAGTATAAGCAAATCTGCATGCTTGCCTGTGGATGAGTCATCTAAATTGGCCTTGCATCATCTGAAGCTCAGTAAATTCTTAGAGGAGGGGTTGGAAAAAAATATAAAATCTTACCAATGAGGAGGAGAGCTTTGAAATATTAACTTCTGGACATGATATGATTGTCACATACAGTTGAAGTAAATTTAAATGTAAAATTTCAAGTTTCACCTAGACTTGTTGAAATGGAGTTAGAATTTTTCTACGTCTGTATCTATAAGTGCAGGAACATTCTTACCAAAGTGGCCAAAATGAGATCAGAGAACTAACTCCAGTGTTGGCCCCTACCATCCTCCTTGTTTTTGTAACAAGACCTTTTTGCTGTTGACAGTTGGATGCACTAGTCTGTCTGTCCCAGGAGCTTCAGGGGGAGTCTCTTGATTCTATCACCCCTCTTATTTTAAGATTACAGATGCACGATCCAGTGTCTGGCTTTATGTTTGTTCTAGAGATGCTAACTTGGGCCCCCAGACTCACACAGCAAATTCTTTACCCATTAAGCCATCCCGCCAGTACTGGAGAGTGAATCTTTACATATTCATAAAGACAGTAGTATATAAGTAGAAGGGGTCTAGGACATGAACCAAAATGACTTCTTTACAAAAAAGTTTGTAGAAATCTAGTTAGTTCCAAGATCATCACACTCATAGCATTCTGATTGAAAATTTGTAGAAAAAAATATGTTATTGGAGTTTTCCTTAGTTGTGTCAAAATTGAATAATTTTATCAAAGTAAATGCATTTTATTTTTAACAGTAAAGTGACAATTTTAATTATCTTATAATAATATATTCCAACCCTTTTATGTGAAACATATCTAGCGGTAAACTTTACTATACCAAAATTCAAAGATGTGTCATATTATGCCTGCTTTGAAAATGTGACCTGTGTGCCTTGTGTTTTCAGATTCAGGCTCATGTGGATATTCTAAGTTCCCTACAGACAACACAGCTTTACTCAAAGCCAGTCCTTGTATGGTGCTCACCAGATAAACTTCCTTGGGCCAGCAGATGCAGAGACCTACAGCCAGACATTACATGGAGAGGTGGTCTAAATTGCTCAAGACTGAAGTGGCAAGTATAGATTCTCCAAGGGTCTGTAACTAGTTCATCTACATGTATGTTATGACTGTTAGCTTGGTGTTTTTGTCTGACTCCTAACAGTGGGAGCCACTGTGTCTTTGACTCTTTTGCTTGTCTTGAAACACTTTCCCTTCTATTGGGTTGACTTGTCCAGCCTTGTTATGAGAACTTTTGCATTTTCTAGGAAATTATCAGTCAAAAAAATCTTTTATTTTAAGGATAATCTTTTATTTGTTTTATTTTTAAATGAAACTCAAAACTCACTACTGGCTTTCTAAATATTCTTTTAAAATAATACAGAATATATGTCAAGTAGAAAAATTATATTTATCTTGGTATTTCATGATATTGACTTTTTTCATTGTATTTGATGCTTCTACTTTTGGTTTGAGCATTCTTATTGGAAATACTTTTATGTTTGAGAAAATATTTTGCTAAAAGTTTAATTTTTTACTTTCCATTTCAAATAGAAAACTCATAGTAATAAAATCGTCAGTAGGGTTTTTTTCATCTGGTAGTTGGTATCTGGATATTTTAAAGATCTATAGGGGAACAATAAGGATTCACGGTTGCTTCTCTGCCCCTCTCCCATGGGATAAAAGACCTTTTCTTAGCTTTCCATGTAAAGCTTGTTGGCTCTGGTGGAAAGCACATAAAATTGCCTGTGTTCCTAGGGTTGTGAGAGTGCAAGGCTGGGGTTCCTAGCATGCCCTTTGGCTAGGTTATGCTAACCACTCTCAATTTTTAACATTTCTTCAAATGAACATTTATGTGTTCGTGGTGTCTCCTGGAGCCAACTTTTTCCATGTAAGTTAATCACACTTACTTGTACGTGTACACCTCTCCAGAACTTATCTTAGTGTGAACACATTCCTCAGCTGTTTGGTAGGGCCAAGGAAAGTCTTGTCTGCCGTTATTCACCTAAATGTCAAAAGTGCTATTCTTTTCTTAAATGTTCCAGGGTCTTTTTTCCTCCTGTATTTTTCCAACTTTCCCCCCATGTTTTCCCATGATTTAGTTGTTTCCTCTGTTATTATACTTTTCAAATATAAATCATTTCTGAATGTTTCACAAGTTTAGAAAAGGTCAAGTTTTATGAATTTAGACTATATTTTGGCTGTGGGACACTATATAGATATTTATTGTTAAAATTATTGTTATTGCTTTAGCAGGAAGCAGTCATTACAGATATAGCAAAGTTCTGAATTTTATAAAAGCTGAAATAAACATTCAGAGACGCTGTCAGACTATTAATTGACCTTCAAAACTAAGCTGACACTTTTGAGTTCCAAACATGGATATTCCCATATTATGTGATTCAAAGGAACAGAAATATGAAATATAAAAATCCCAGAAATTTTGCAAATCACTTTAATTTCTTCTCTGTATTTCCTATTTAATAACCTATAACTTAGAAATTATTTCTAAAAGCTTTTAACTCATTAGATGTTTTATGTAAAATAGTTAAATAAATAGGTATTAGTCTAAGATTGGATATATAAAAATGCTAACAACAAATATATCTTTCAAATTAAAAAATTGAATCATTTTTATTATATATAGTTTCCAGTATCATTTAATAATTTATTGTGAATGATAGTATAACAGATAAGATTCATAAATACATACAGTTATTTTAAGCAAGGATATGGGTAGTTCACACTTAGTATGTTCTCATATTCAATGCAATCTTTATTCTTATAAGATCATAAAACAATTTTCCCAATGTGTCATAGGATAAGCAGATGGCAGTTGAATTCAGGGGATCAGTCTACCAGGAAAGAAAACTCTGGTGGGTGAATCTAGGATAAGCAAGTCCCCGAGAGCCTCCAACCCAAAACGTCTCTTGCTACTGCTGTGTCTTTGCCTTTCTGTCATTGCCATTTCTCTCTGGCATCTGGCACAGTGTGAACTGGCATGGGGGAGATCCCCATTGCCCTTAATGCGATAGGATCATCTCTTGGTGTTATCTCATTCTACTGGGCATTTTTACCTGTGGATTATTATGAAGATGGCTTATTTCTATGCTTTTCTGTCTACTTGTTAATAATAATGTTAGTTTAAATAGAGCTTTAATGACCGAAAAAAATACAATGAAGTGTCACAGAGTTAGGCCTATGAGTTTCATTTAAGGAGCTGCGTAGGTCAGAGTTCAGATGAATGACGAGAGAAAACTGTCGAGTCCCAGGAGCCACACTGCCTCGGATTCTTTTAATCTTGATGCTGAAAGATGAATTCACTGATTTTGTTGTGTATCGTAGCTGAAACAAAGCCTTAGAGTAACTTCAAGTTAGAGAGAGATGTTTTGATAAAACCTTTGAGAGAAAAAAAAAAAGCAACCTAGCAAACACTCTAAATTTCACAAAGACACATAGCTGTGGGATAGGTTCATCAGATTTAGGGTTCAAAAACCAAAGCATCCCAACTATTACCTGATGATATACTTGCCTTGCTAGGAATGGTGAGATCAAAACTGGTGATTAATGCCTTGTGCCCATTTCTGCTCTCAACCTCCTGATATAAAAAAAAAAAACTATTGATGAGTAGGTATGTACCTTAAAGATTTAAAGTAGAGCTGACTGATTGTTTTTATGTAAAAAAGTTTAGGTTTGTGATTCCTTTAAGGTTCCTTTTAAAAATTACTTTTCATGATAAGTAATAATGTTTGATTGTTCCTTTGTAACTGCCATATGTAGCCTACAAGCAAAATAGCTGACTGAGAAAAATGAAATACCTTACTTTCTCACACCCTGTTAATCTATAACAAGTTACTTAGATGTAAATGTATGTGGGCTCTTGGGATGACTTTGTTTTAATCATGTAAGGAAAATGGAAAACATGTTTTACCTGTATTCATTATAATCAGTCACATGAAAAATAGAATGCAACCACGCTACAATTTTATGTTGGCTGAAAGATTTTTTCTGGGGATATATAAGCTGTAGAGGAAAATAATCAGAATAGAGAGTAGATAATACAAAAGAAAAGTGAGAAAAAAATCTAAAATTCTGAAGGAAACCATTCGGAAAGTGTGTGTCTTTCCCCTTATCTTCTCAGCCCCTCAGATAAAAAAAAAAAAAATCTTAGTAAGCTATGACTCTGAATCTCCTTCCAGCCTTATGCTGCTGGAGGCTGGTCCCCCAGGCAGCAGTACTAAAGCATTTCATTAGATTCAAGAAAAACAATATATTCAACAAAAATTTTCTGAAAAATTAGTTGTTAAACAATTTTATCAATATTGGAAGCTTAGCTGCCAAGATAGAATACTATTATTACTCTTTTTCAAAAATATTCTCATTTTTTTGCACAGTGAACCAGATTATAAGAAACGCTTATATGAAGGGTCAAGGTGTATTTCTTGGTACGTTTAGAGAAATATGTTGGAAGTATCAGAATGTTAAGCGGTTGCTCTCTGGTATTCTCCTTTCTTACATAATTTCATTCATCACATTTGAGTATGTCTTTTTCAGTTTTTCACCTAAATATTTAATATTTACATAGACAGCAATTTACAAGTGTTCCACTATGTCCATATTCATCATATTTCTTCAAAAATTAATACACACAGGGAAGAACTTACAATAGATTCCTATCACGGTAAAGGACACTCTCTACTGTTCCTTGTAAAGCAGAGAGAGGAAGAAACAGTCAGTTACTATAGAAGTCAGAGTCAAGAATTCTCAAATAACTAAAAGTATATGCGCTGTGTGATCGATATATACCAACCCTTGACATATGCCCAAAGGGCTTGCCATCCTACTGCACAAACACAGCTGTTCCCATTGCTGCTCTATTCAGAATTGCTAGGCAATGGAAACAACTTGCATATCTTTCAACAAATGAATGGGTAATGAAAGTGTGGTACATATTACAGTACAATAAGATTATGTTAAGAAAACCCCCATGATCTTCTCAGAAAAATATATGGATGAATCTAGTAGATATTTTCTACTCACTTTGTGTGTTATTTCAAACCCAAGAAAGCAAACATTACATGTTCATTCGTATATATGCATCCTAACTCTGACGGTTGAGATGTGAGTGAGCAATCTAGAGAAACTGTGGAAACTGGAGATACAATTACTTAACTATTAGTAGAAATCGACAGTCATATGAAATCTTTCTTTTCTCTGCTGGACAATGACAAAACAGTTGGTCACTAAATTAAGAAACATGGAAATCAATGGGGAAAACTACATATCGAAACCCTGCTTTTCTATTTTGTCCTTCATTTTAGCATTTTACTGTGGGTAAATGAAATCAACCAAATATAATATATTTATATATAATATAATATATAATATTCTCAAAGTATTATATAATTCATATGAAAGTTATTGAAGATACTTTGCCTTCAACAGATGGCAACAACCTCTTGTGTGCTCATTCGTTCTGGCATTGTTCTTTACTCTAGCACTTGAATTGTTTACTTGCATTTCTATCAGTATTAAATTAAAAACTCAAAATTCTTTCTCCAGTTTGGTTGGAAACCAAAATGTATTAAGCAAAAATTGTGAGATGTATGCTGACTTGGTTAGATCAAAATCAGATGTATTGCTGATATTTTACAGTTCTGTTTTGAAACCAAAACCATTCTAAAAAAAAAAAAAAAAAAGAACCTCCTATAGACACTGAAAACAGACATCTTTTTCTAACTTAGAAATGATTAGTTGAGGCAACTCTTCCTAAGCACAGAGAGGGTGGAGAAGTTAGTACCTAGGTCAATACCCTTGTAAGAAAAAAGCCCTGAAGCAGGAAGCAGCGTTCAAGGATCAAAAACCCAGACACATAAAATACACTGTATACTGGCCTTGGGTGAGTGATTTGTCTACTGCTCTGATCTCAGCTCTAGTAAATGCAATGCCCTAGGCACCAACACTAGTTAAACCAAACAAGCAAACAGAATCAGGCAGTCTCTCGAACCCCTACTGTGTTCCAGCTAATCTAAAATATGCTCTGGTATAAATTTGTCATAAAATAGCAACTCCGTGTAAAGGCATTGATTCATCTTAATGAGATCTTTGAACAGATGGGATGCTTTTGCTGCCCTCAACCCTTTTGCTTTAACAATTTGCTTGTAATTAGCATTGTTCTAAAAGTACTCACCTTAAAAGGGGGAAGAACTGACTATATTTTCAGGCTAAGGAAACCCAGGAAACAAAGAAATCATGGGGCAAAATTAATTTTTAAGACTTATTTCCTTTAAGTGGGCATTTTTAAAAGCTGTGAGCAATTTCCTATGCTTTCCCATGCGGTTTACCCCTTATGGCTTCATTCAAAGTGTAAACAATTGGATAAATGCAAATGGAATGATGTAGGTGGTCTTTCAAAGAGCATCCTTTAGGTCTGACACTCATTCTCTTTGATGATCAGAGAGCTTCCCTCCCTCTTTTCCTTTGTTTCTTTCATGCATCTTTTTTTCAGAATGTTGTCTGTTTTCCTTATCTTTTCTACCCTTGTTTTTCTTTTTAACTATTATAACAATATTATAATGAGATCATAGCAGAACTCCATTGCTCCTTAAATTTACAGATGATATGCTGTATGCAACTTAATAGCAAAAGTATAGATCGTAAGGTTTAAAAATATTCTATTTGCCATTTAAACCCCGGCAGCAGATTTTTCCAGAGATGGATTTAAATATCTAATATATGCTAAATATTTTGACTTATCACAATTTTCTTCTATGGGGAAGAAAGTGCCTTACAACCAAATGTAAACCCAGTCTGATCCAATTAACTTAAAAGATCAACCCCAGTTCTAAGCTAAAAAGCTATCTTAGGGGAGGGAGAGTTCCTTTTTACTAGGGGATAGCCAGCTTAGCTTAATTTAGTCCAATGGATGGTCCTACAACCATGAGCATATGGGTAGTACTAATTAAACTTGATGGGTTATAATAAGTAAATATATAAAACATGACACTAAGTTGGGAGATAGGTATGTTTGTGGGCCCAGGCTTGCTAAAGGGAAAGAGGAGTTAAGATTGAGTATGTTCAATTGCATTATATAGATGTATATTTTCAACGATATATAAAAGTAGATATTAAATATTTTTCCTTTACTGTTTAAGAGCTGAAAAATTTAAGTGAATGATTCTTAGACTTTTAAAAAGAGGAAGTAAAAATTGAGTCAAATTGATTGTTTTGTGTTCTCATCAGGATATTAAAAGGACCACTGTATTTGGGTTCCAGGTTTTTCTTCAACTTTTGGGAAATTGTTTCCCCCATCTTTTTTAGATATCAGCTTTGCAAGGCTCCCAGTTCACATCCAATTTCCAAGCTCAGTTATCCTGGTTGTTATCAGTCATTTTTTTTTTTTGTAGTTTTTCAGATCTTACCTGTCTATAAATTGGAGTAGTTGCAGCCACGTGCCGGAGAGATGCTAGCAGCAGTGAACAGCACGTGTTGCTTACTTAGGTACTGAAAAATATGCTTTGTTTAAAAAATTAAGAACAGTTATTAAGGCGATCAAATGATTCTGAGAGTTGAGCCCAGGATAAAGAGAAAACTCAAAGTTTTCCATCAGTGTGAGTTGTGGATGGTGTGCACCACAGCAGTGTGTGGGCTGGCATGTGGGTCGTGTGCTGGGGAGTGCTGAGCAGCAGCCTGCTGTGACTGAGGGACAGCTAAAGTCATGGGCAGAAGAATCAGTGCCCAATGCACCCCGTGAATGGTGGACCGATCCCAAAAAAGTGAGGACTGATACCCACGTTCGTGCACCAGATGATGGCTAATGATACAAACTAATTCCATACTAGTTAATAATTACATATAATAAAGGTCATTTATTTAGGGAAGACAAACAGATATTGTCCTGTATTACAATCCTCAGCACGAATGGGGAACAGGAACAAAGTCTAGTTGCTGGAAGTGAGAGCCGTAAGCAATAGCATGAGCACATATAAGGGTCCATGCCCAATTGTGCTGGTATCTTAAAGGCTATTGGCTGAAGAGGCAGAAGGAGCTCCCACAGCAGGAGACCTTACCCCATCTGAATGGAGATGGAGGAGGAATGGATGGGGGATGGTGGAAGGGAGGTGGAGTGAGGGAATGGGAGGTAAGGAGGGAGGGGAAACCGTTGGTTGTATGTAAAATAAAATAAAGAATAAAAAAAGAAAGAAAGAAAAGGAAAGCCTTATACTTGACCCTGAGCAAAGTCCTAGAATAATTTGCCCATTTGTTATAGGATGGAAAAGTTCTTTTCAAATACCAGGAACAACATATTATTTCATGCTTGGGACAGTTTATTGAGCAAAAGAGTTACAGACTTAACCACTTCATAAATTAACACAAGGGAGACATAAATTGTACCTACAGATAATTATAGTAAAGGGCCATGGTTAACTCTCTATGAAAATCAGAGCACACTGTTGTGAATCTTAACTATAACTTCAGTTAATTCAGATAATTCGTATGGAAATATGTTCAATAACAAAACAAAGAACATTGATTTTCCGTATAATTCTACCTCATTTCCTACATGTCTGCCTCAGGAGGGTGTGTACGTGTGTAGGGGGTAGGGGGTTCATTTTAAGTACCATTGTTAAAAAAGAAAATTTTTTTTTTTTGGTTTTCTTTCACATCTCTTTTTGATTCATTCACAAAAAGAAAAGAACATATATTTGACAGACTAAAATCAGTAACTCTAAAAATTAACTTACTTTTTCCAATAACAGATTTAAACATGTACATAATTAATGCATGTGGGGTACAAAGGAGAGCAAGGAGCCCTGTAGGAATGACAATTTTCAGGGGAGAGCTAAGAATGCTATAGAAATGCCTGCTGCCAGAAGAGTAAAGAGAAGCAAACTGACTAACATGCGTTCTTAATTTGAATGTAGGTCCTGTGCAAGTAAAAGGCTTGCTTTCGGGAAGACACACTTTCTTTTTCATTTCAAGTGAATTCTGGATAGTCTGCATTTATCTAATAAATATAGCTCTTATATTTGTGGATTATGATATTTGACTTTTTAGTGAGATAATATTATTTGTCAAAAGAATACCTGAAGAACTTATAAGGATGTGGGCGGTGTGTTCTACTTCAGAAGTTTTAAAACTGGTTAAAACACAGCGTGTTCTTTAAGTGTAAATTCTTTTAGTTTAAATTTGGGGCTGAGTGAAACTGCTTTTGCACCTCACTGGAGGCCTGTTTAAATCCCCAAGTAAACTCTTATCCCAGCAAACTGTCAGTTTGGATATTTGGAGCTGATTAGAGAGAAATTAATGTCCCATTGCACTCTCCCTCTGGCCAAAGAATATTTCCAAGGTTTCTTAGAAACCTAAGTAGAGCTAACTACCTAATACATAACTCTGAGCAAATGCACGCATTTCTCTGCTTGAGCAAAATTCCCACTAGCAGAAGCAACAAAGCCCAGTAATTTGTCTTAAAATAAGTGTCTCTTTTGTGCTCAGTAAATGGGAATCCATTCACCGTCTTTCACATTCTATATAATTACAGCAGATGGGAATGCTTTTCCTTATGTTAAAAACTTGGCATTTTACTTGTTTAATTTGGCTCAAAACAAAATAGTGATAGTGCTGAGCCATGGACAGTGATTTGTCTAAAGATTTCCCATTGGATTTGACAATGTTAAATACCTCACCTCTAAATTATAACCTTAACCTGAAATATTATTTGCTAGGTATATGCAGTACATTTTAAAAATGTATTTTCTACTCCATTTGAAATTCTGTAAATTACCTGTTAATTGTTTCTCTGCTTTATTTTTGACTTAGTTTTAATCCACAGCAACAGTATTTGTAACATTAATAATTAAAGTTGACTTTTTCTGTGGTATTTTCATGTATTGTTTAGAGTTAAGCCTTTTTTGAAATGAACAGCAAAGAAGAGCATTATGGAGATGCTGAGAGAGGGAGACAGACAAGAATGTTGGATATCTACATTTACTCTTTTGTATCACTTCAATTTGGAGATAAGAACTGAGCCACACTCATACAATTAGCACAAATTATTAAATCAATGCTGATTTGTTAGAGGAACCAAGAGTTTACAGAGGGAGATGAAATCCAACCAACTTACAAGATGTGGTTCGGTAACCAGAAAACTTGAAACAAATGAACATCTTGCTGTGTCATGTTTGAAATCAATGCCTAAATTCAAAGCAATGATAAAACTTATTCAATACAGTTTAATATCAAAGAGTGGAGGTCACCATGGGAACTAAGCTAGTGCCATTCTGAGTTTGGCTGATATTTGTCACACTTCACAGTACATATTGATGTAAAACATCAAAACTAAAGAGGGTAAGATCAATTTCAAGAAAGAATAACTGAAAATTACAGGGGACATAATTAAATGTATGTGACCTTCAGAAACAGACAAAACCCTGAAGGAAGAATAAACAAACCATTGATTATATTAGTAACTCTGCTTAGGTTTGCCATCAAAGTATAACCTGCAACAAGACAAAGAACAAGCAAGACTGACTACAATTTAGATTAGAAATATCTTTCTCCAAAAACTGTCAAGAAAGTAAAACAAATCTCTCAAAGTGAGATAGAATATTTGCAATTTTTATACCCAGTTGGATTAAAGATTATATTAAACTTTTCAACTAAGTAAAATCCATAACCTCTCTATTAAAGGATGAGCTATTTCTTCCAAACAAAATATACAATGATTGTCAAGAACATGAAAAAGGGTTCAATGTCATTAACTAATAAAGAAACACAAAGACACTGTGGGGGTTGGGTTAGGAGAACTGTACAATGTTCATTTTATAGAAGGAATACAACTTGAGAAACCTGTTAGCAATGTGACTGAATTTACTTACAATGTATTATATTTGAAACATGATGAAGTTCAAATGCTATATGCTTTCACAACATAGAGATAGCTACGAGAGTCAATTAGAGTTATTTGTTCCTTGGTGTGGTTGCACTAAATAGCGTCATGTTGTGCAAGGTTTATCAGAGTATTTGCTGTAAGTCAAAACATAAGTTAGAAATATAAAAGGGTGACTATCCTCTTTATAATATTACTATAAATACCACAATTGGCTGATATGTAAAGAAAGTGTAGCTACTGTGCACTGCTTTTAGGAATATTACTCAATCCTGCCACAATGGAAACAAACTTGTTCAGTCTGAGAAGTTTAACCGCTTACCACAACTAAAGAATTTCCTGTAATAAAAGTGAAAGTATGCACTCTGGAAAAAACTTGCTTGAAATTTCCAACAATATTTTTGAATAATTGTAGTGTTATTTCTATAGCCCCAAATTCCATCAAACAATGAATGGATAAACACACTATAGTATACATGTAGAGTAGATTATCAATTAAAGAAAAATGCAATAGATTATTTATATAAACTATAGTACGAAAGGATACTGCCAACATTATTGTAAGTAAAAGAAGCAAGAAACAGGAGAGTGTGTATTGTTTAATTCTCATAAAGGATGCGTTCCTACAGAAACGCAAAGCTCTTCAACCTCGCCTAGGGCTAGTGTGTGCATCTGTGTGTTAGGAGAAGTTGGTAGGTAATGACTAACAGTGTTTACAGTTGTTTGGTTTGACAATGTAAAAAAAAAATTAAAACTAGAACCATGATGCAGTATAACTCTGCAAGCTCATTAAGAAAACTACTAGATTTTGCAGATAAAATATGAAGCAAATCTCTTTGTTTTAACATTTTACTATAAAAGAAAAGTGGCACGAGATGTTACCTAACAGTTAAGGGTACACATTGTTCTTCCAGAAAACACGAGTTCAGTTCTCAATGACAACTACTTGTAGTAGCAGCTAGCAACTGCTTATAACTCTAGCTTCGGAGGCTCTGAAGCCCTCTTCTGGTCTACACACACACACACACACACACACACACACACACACACACGGGGGGGATGATACACATAAATAAATAAAATAAATCTTAAAAAAAAACCTTTATTGTAAAGAACTTGTAAATAGAATCATCACAGTGTAAAATTAACCAGACCAGAAACTTATAATTTTTCAGTGAACTTCTGTATCCGCAAAATGTCTGAAACAGCAAAAGAATGAATGCAGATAAAGTCGATCAATAAAGGAGCAAGTATTTTGCTGTGAATCATATTACCTGGAAAAAGGAAGATCTGACATGTGATGGTGAGCAATAAAGTAGAATTATTTGCAGGTGAGCCAAAACAGCCAGGAAATAAGCAAGTGATTGATGTTAAAGATTCATACGGATTGTTTATTGATTAGAATTGCATTATTGTGGATTCTGGAATGTCAAATATGCAGAACCAAATTATGTTAGGCTTTCTTTACTCTTCCAATTAGCCATTCATTGCCCATAGTAATGTCTAAATTAACATCTTGTTGATGCCCATATAAAATTTTGGGATAGGTTATTTTTCAAGCAACTACATTCTATCAACCCTGTATGTGAACTCATATGATAATAT